ACCCGCCGGCCTCCCGGGGCCCACCTGCAGCTGGCTCCGCGTGTCCGGGCAGCGCTCGTTGTCCAGGCTGTTGGCACGCTCGTTCTGCGGCCGCGCCGCCTGCCGCTCCTTCAGCGACGTGCTCCGGCCCCGGCGGCCGGCCTGCTTGCCCTCCGACCTGCGGGCCCAGGACAGGCTGGGGCAGGGTGGCTCGGGACGGCCAGTGCTGCTGATGGGCAGCTGGGCCAGGGGCCACGCGGAGCCCACGACCCTGCAGCACACGGCAGCAGTGTCCACCCCAGAGCCTGGCCCCATGGCACCCAGCCCGCAGGGTGCCCAGTGCTCTGGAAGCAGACGGCATCTCACAAAGGCACTGGCCCGGGGGGCTCCGGCAGATGGGGCCTGGCCAGGAAAACGTGAGTTGTGGCCGACAGGGACTCTCCCCACCCTTGGACGGGCAGCCGCAGCCGCACCTCAGCGCCACGAGACCTGCCAGCATCCAGTGGCCGTGGGGCTGTGGGGGCCACCGTGGGCCTCCAACTGGCCCAGAGACACCAGGACGCCACGCTCCATGATGGGCCCACCCCCTACGGGCACTGCCCAGCGGACAGCTTCCCCAGGCGGCCTGTCACCTGGTGGAGGGGATGACGAGGGACTCGGTCTTAGTGACACGCCCACTGGGCGGCAGCTTCTCGGTGAACAGGTCCAGGGAGGGCGTCTCCACCTCTGGGCTGTCCTCGGGTGGTGCCGGGGTCTCCCCCGGGGGCGGTGTGCCCTGCCAGGGAGGGAACAGGCTGTGGGGATGTCCGCCCCGCCTGGGCCTCCCGAGCACCCAAGGGAGGGACCCCTGATCTGGCTGGCAGCATTCGGGCCTCCTGTGGGCCGGCAGCTGCCCACGTGTGGACACGGGTGCAAAGGGCCCCGGGGACCGGCAGCAGTGCTGTCCCAGGCTGCTTCCTCGAGACCCCGCGAGGCCTGCGAGACCCATGTGGCATTGGGCCTGTCCCCGACAGCACAGCAGGGAACGCCTGCTTTCCACCAGGTGACCCAGGGGCCTTGACTGCCCTGTGGGGGGACCAGGGGCCCTCGTGGTGGCTCTGCGCACAGGTCCTGGCGTTCAAGCACGGGGACCGGTGTGTCGAGCCCTGCGGCAGCGCGCACATGGGCCTCTGCCTGGGCAGAGCGAGGGGACCCGTGCCTGCTTACGTGGGCCGAGTCAGAGACACCGTCGCTTGGCTGCTTGGCGCCCAGAGCCCGTGTCTTCTCGGGCATGTCGGCCTGCGGGGCAGATGGGAGTCACACTGCGTTCGAAGCAGCGTCAGGGCCGGCCCACATCCGGGCAGCGGGTGCTGGGCCGAGGGGCGGCCCAGGGACACTGGCCAGGGCTTCCTGGACTATGGGCCCCGGGATGCCCCACAGCAGTCACCTGATGTTGGCAGGCAGACATGGGCCACCCCACAAAGCCAGGAAGCATCAACTTTGCTTTGTCCAGCACCAGCTTGTGAGTGACACCAAGCGACCAAGACAGGATTGGGGGTGGCGGGCCCTAGGGGGGTGCGGGGCTGCCTGGCCCGGCCACTCACCGGACTCGGAGGCTCCTTCTGGCTCCGGGTGCTGTGGGTGCTGCCAACCTCCGTCTGCGAGCTGGAGTGTGACAGGCCTTCGAAGTATGGCCTGCACGTGGGGACAGAGGTCAGTCTCCAGGACCCTCTCCACCCGCAGGCATGGCCACTGGGCCTGGCTGGCCCCCACCCTCAAGAATCAGGGCACGGAAGAGGACACCGAGCCCCCTCCCAGCTCCTCTGGCCGCTGAGACCAGCCAGAAGCCCCGCCTCTCACAGCCTGAGCTGGGGCAGGGCGGGGTGGCACAGGTGACAGCTCCGCCCAGGCCTGCAGGGGTGCCTCTGGGGAGGGGGGGCATGGGACCCTGGCCAGCTTGTAGGGATGCAGAACACCCTAAACAGCACGCTGAGGGTGCCGCTGGCAAGATCCTGCCAGACCAGGCCAAACGTCCCGCCCGAGCAGACAGGGCCACGTGGAGAGTGGACGGACTGACGGGTTCGAGGGGACGCGGAAGACGGTTCGAGCCGAGCAGAACTCGGGCAGCGTCCGGTGACAAAGCCGCATGGGGATATGGGGCCGCTCTGTGAGGCAGGAGGGGCAGGGACCCCAAGGTGGCCAGGCCTCACCCCCAGAACTGGGAACCTCTCCTCCGGACCCCCATCCTCTCCCTGGGGACAGCCACCTGGGACAGGGACACCAAGCCATTCCCAACGCACCCATCTCCCTGCCTGACGGAAGTGCTGTGGCCTTGGACTCGCCGGTCCCCTCCTGAGAGGGGCGCCTCGCCCAGCCCCGCCGGCACCCTGGGTGGGTCTGATCGTGGCCCGTATCACGGCCTCCGGGGCAGGGCCCCCGACTCGTGCTCCCGAGTGTTCCCCTCCGACAGCGCAGGCCTGGACGCCCTCCGGGAGCCATGTCTAACCCCCACGCTGGTCCCCCAGCACCCGGGCACACCCCTACCTGAGCTTGGGCTTGGGGGTGCTGAGGACGCTGTCGTCATCCTCCAGGTCGGGGCCGCTGTCACTGGGGTTCTCCACGTCCAGGGTATCGTACAGCAGGTCCAGGTCCTCCTCCGCCTCGGGGACATGCTCCGCTGGGTCCTGCTCCGAGTCCAGGACCTGCAGCAGGTCAGACCGTGAGGGCTGGCCCAGGCCGGGGAAGGGGCGACCGCGGGGCAGGCAGAGGGGCACAGAGCCACCAGGCACTCAGCAGCTGCTATCCAGACACGGGGCGAGCCCCGGGCCCAGTCAGCAGGCGCCAGCCCTGGTGTCCCCGCTGGAGAGCACGTCAGCACGCGGATGCCCGTCTAGGACAGGCATGTGCCACCACGCGGTCAGGATGTAGAACGCCCTTCTCCCTCACGGTCCCCTCCCCTGCTCCCCAGGCCACCCTGAGGCGACTGTCTCCTGAGCTCGGCCACTGCCAGAACGTCACACAGATGCGGCCACGTGACACACAGCCTGTCGGGCTTCTCACTCGGCACCTGGGGCTGAAGGGCTGTCCTGCTACGTTTGCCAACAGCCGAGTCCCCAGCGCTGCCCGGCCAGGCGCCACAGAACGAAGGAGCCCATGTCCGGCAAAGCTTCTGCGACTGTCCGTCCTCGTGCGGACGTGCTCCCGCCTCTCGTGGGCAAACACCGGCAAGGCGACCGTGTGTTTAACTTTCCAAGGGACTGCCCGCTGCTTTCCACCCCGTCGGCCCACGTCGCGGCCCCCGGCGTCTCGCTGGCTCTGGTTCGCGTTTCGCCGACGACTGGAGACACCAGGCATCTCTTCCTGGGCTGACCGGCTGTTTGCACCCTCTGGAGAAAGCGTCCGGTTGGGTTCTCTGCCCGGTGGCTCGGCGTTAGCCTCTGGCGCCGAGCCCGTCCTCTGCACGTTCTGGACGATGCCCCTTCCCAGCCCGGCACCCGGCACACGCCCTCCCCGTCTGCGGGCGGCCGCTCCGCTTCCTCGATGGTGCTGCGTGGGGCGCAGAAGCGTCCGACCCCGAAGCAGGCCCACTCGCCCGGCCTTCCTCTGCTCGCCTGTGCTTCTGGCGTCGCGTCCGAGAGACCCCTGGGACTCCGGGTCACAGACGCCAACTCCTGTGTTGACACCAGAGCCCAGTTTCAAGCCTCACGTTTAGGTCTTCGATGCATCTTGTGTTGGTTTTCGTGTCGGTGCGGCCAGCTTCGGCCCTTCGCACGTGGTTACCGAGCTGCTCCATCGCTCTTTGCTAAGAAAGCCATTTTCCCGTGGAACAGCCTCAGCGTCCTTGTCAAAGTCGATCGTCCTCACGTACTCAGGACTCGTTTCCGGGGTCAGCCCTGTTCTGACTCACACCATCTCCCTGAGGTGAGCGGGGAGGGCCACTGAGCTCGCCAACACTGCTCCCCGGGCTGGTGTGCTTATTCCGGGCCCCCTGCACTTCCCACGCTTGAGGACTAGCCGGCCGGTCCCTGCGAAGAGGCAGCGGGGAATGGCACGGCAATTGTGCCGAACCCGCAGGTGTCTGGGGAGCCCGGGGCCGGTCGGGCACGCCCCCGCCACCGCCGAGGACGCGGCCGTCCTGGGTGTGGACGCACGGCCACGGTCCCCGCACAGCTCGGCTCTGCCTGCTGCCATGCCCGTGTGCCAGGCACACTGGGACACGTGGGGCTCACATACTTAGGCGCCTCCTCTGCCAGGTAGGTCCTGAGCCTGGGGCTAATTTTCCTCTGAGCACATTAAAAAAAACAGTATTTTTTTTCCGGTGACGGGAGTCATACAAACTCATCGTAACACAAACGCTGACAGCAAGAATTTTAAAAGCACGCGGTGTTGACGGTGGAGGGCACGTGGCACCTCTGCCCTTCCTGCTGGATTTTGCTGCGAACCTAAAACTGCTCTAAAAAGTTGATTCATAAAAAAATACACAACACAAAATCTGTGGTCACACCCCCAAAGAAGGGACTATGATCTGTCCACCCAGGCGAAGCACAGTGGGTGGTCTCCTGGAGCCTCCACCAGACCAGACCTTCGAGGCATCCCTGGGCGTGGGGATG